AGTAATGCAGCTGTCATTAATAATCTTAACTCTCTTTAGAAAAAAAAATTGTCCTCTACAATAACGACGCAATTCAAAATTCAACAAATTAAAACTTACTACTGTTAAGTGGCTCATGTCGCAAATTCTTGTTTAATCTCTGTCTAATCCTTACTAAAGATTACACATGGATTAGTCAAGGATTAGGGTCATGCGCCACTAAACAGAAGTAAGCGATTTTATTTTTTGAATTTTGAATTGTGCCGTTATTGCAGAGGACCATCGATATACGTTATTCAGACAAATAAAATAGCTTTAAAAAAACTTTTTTAATCGACCCTTTCATACCAACTTTCGATTTTTAAGGCAGTCAAAGTTTTCTAAGAATTTGTATGTTAATTCTCCCGCAAATTCGAAATTCGTGAGAATGGTATCACTGATTTCGAGTTATTTTATTTTGATTTAGAATAATTAAACCAAAACATAAAACAAACAAAAACCAAAGGCTAACTACGTATGCGTCGGAATTGCTGATAGTATTTCTTTTGAATTCGTCAACCTTATCTATCGTGAGTTTCGCCTGAAAAGAAATTCGCCCGAAATTTTTTCATCCGCCGTAGTGAATACAGGGAAACGAAAAGTGATAAGTGAACCAATCCGAGGAAAATAAAACTCATAATCAGGCTGTAAATTTTAATCAAAATTCCATAATACATTCAAATCCAGCAATTCTAAATGGAACCAGCTATAATTTACAACGCACTCTAACCTAAATAATTGTTTAGCATAGATACAATTTTATACCTGGACAACTATTTCAATGGTAATATTACGATCAACATTAAAGAAATAAACAAAAATTGCATGTACAAAATTTATGGCAAAATCAATTTATCCGTAATTTTCTATTCGGAAAATTTATTAAATTTTCCTTGGGCAGAGACAAACGAAACAAAAATTACAGCTCACATAGGACAATTCACTCTATGGCTATGATCGATATTACGTAACCAATTTTGTTGTATACATATATATAGAGATTTAAATTTTTAAATATTTGGCAACCCTATTCAAAATTATTAATTCTGGTTAAGAGTGCATTTAAATGCCTTGCATTCTCTGAATACGTTGCAATATTTTACTCGATATATATTTAAGCCACTAAAATTTTAAGCGAATGGCAACCCTATTAAAAAGTTTTTATCTTTTACCACAACCAGCGAAGTTGTCCTTCAAAATGGTGTTTCAATCATTCAATTTGAAGGAGTATTATGGAAGGCATAGCGCTTTCAACTAAACCCCTTTTTTAATAAATAAATAAATCTGAACAACGGGACTATTTTTCGCATGTACGGGAGCTGCTCCCCTTCAAAATGAGATATGTATGTATCTTTCATTAAATTTGATAAAATATTAAAGGGGATATCGTTTGGTAAGAGAAAAATACCTTTTAGAAAAAGTATATAGATTATAAGGCAGATTATCACATCATTCAAATCTGTACTTTATGCGTTTTTATTTACATTTCTGCAATGAACATATCGCTCATGCAGATTTTTCGTTTAATATTATAGAGAATTAATTCTAAATTTACATTTTTGGACATTTCATCATAACTGCATGATAAGCTGGATAAAAAGAATAAGTTCAGTCTAAGAGACAACTAAACTTACAAAAATCGATATCATGATTTGTATGCTGACGATGTAGTTTTCTTTTTTTCCGTACCATAACGGGTACCTTTCAGAAAAATACTATGAGACCCCAGCGATAATTTTTTCCCCCACTTTTTGTTGCGCTGTGTAAATTAGAGACTTTAAAGACGCAACGAATATTTTGGTAAAATCGAGACTGGTACCCTAAAACTTACGCGCCAGCGATTTTCTAATATTTATTAAAAAAATTAAAAAATCTTAAATTCATTTATTCATATAGGGGATTAAAAAAACATGTTAACCGTCGTAAAATAATATAGTAAAGAACATTTTTTATGTAGAATAATGATTAAAATGGTTTTCTAACTACACCGAATTGTTTTTAAACTGGTAAAAAATATATATGTAAATAGCATTCCTAAAACCATTTTTACCGTTATTTTACATACAAAATGTTAAGCTAAATATTGTAGGACGGTTAACACGCCTTGTGAATCCCCTAATCAAAAATCATGACATTTAGCGAAGATATCACTTTCAATATAATTAACAGAAAAATTAAAAATTTTTTGTTATAAAAACCCGAAAAATACGAATGTGAAAATTTTAATTTTTTGTCTTTCTTATTTTTATCATTAAAAGTACACAAAAAATATGGTGCTACATCCAGGCACATATAAATTTTTCAAAGAAATTTAAATTAAAAGGGTTCAAATTTATGTGTTGTGCCAATGGTGTAGCACAGGGATGGGCAGATTTTTGGCTCTTAAAGCAGTCAAAGAGCCAGCAAGTACTACGCAGGGTAAAGGGGGTGTAAAAAATACATTAAAAGCGTAATATATATTAGTAATGAGAGTCGGAGTGCAAGAAATTTCAATACGATGATTTTACATCTCATCTAGCACCTAAATGTGCCAATCCCCACGACTGGGAGCCACTTTGCCCATCTCTGGTGTAGCATTCCAATTCTAACTGTTCATGCCAATAATTAAAATAAAATTGTATAAATCGTACCAACCGGTTGCAACCATGTGAACCGGCACTTACAAATCGACACCTCAGTATCCGGTTCGAAAACGCCCTATCTCAGAAAATGGCACAAGAACGGCCTACTTCAAAATTTGGCTGAAGAACGCCCTATCTCAACAAATGGTTCAAAAACGCCATATTTCAACTGCCGATATATTCTGCCTTAACCTGAGTTTCGCCTGAAAGAAAATTCACACACAGATTTTGATTGATTTGAAATTCTGAAAAAGGGTGTTTTTTGAAAATTTTTCTGAGAAACGGCGTTTTCAAACCGGCCGCCGAGATAGTCCGATCTTCCACTCAGCCGTCGTTATTAATCAGTTAAGACTAAAACCCATAATTTAAGAACAAGCGCAAGCAGTGTTTTGAATTCGTTAAGAAATATTGGCATTTTTTTCAGTGCAAACAAATCGGAACGTCCGAATGGGGACATCCAAAGAACTTCAATCTTTTATTCCTTTATTAACCACACATATACAATCTTTTTATAGCATAAACCAATTCACTGACATCTAAGAAAATTTTCAGTCACCTGTAACATGAGATATGTTTTAGGAACATCCGAATAGCGACTTTAGGCCGCCCTAAATTGGCTAAGAACCATTTATGGAAAATAGTTTTAGTTCCGTTGGATACCTATACGACTACGAAGGCTGTTCATAATAAAAGAAAAGCTTCTGATGCAAAGCCTACTATAATTTTTATACAAATAAGTATCTACATATATATTAGACATTAGACTGCATCACTCCCCATACAAAAAAAAATCGGTACTATTTTTCCATTGGAATTATAAAATCTATTATATTTTAAGACGCCCACCAAAATATTTCGGAAAAATATTAAGATTTAAGTGAGCTGGACCGATTTGAAAATACCTTCTTAAAGTTTTTTTTTGAAGAAATCGCCTCAAATGACAAAACGGCTTAAGCTTAAAATATTTGCATAAAAATATTTGAAAAAAATTAAAAAAAATTTTGAACGGAATCGTAATGATGAGATTTTTGATGCTGTTTTTTAACTTTTTTCAAAGATTGGTATAGGGAAAACTTGAATAACTGAACCTAAACTCTTCCGATTTAGACTTGAGAGGTGTCATTGGAAAGGTATTTTTTCACCCTTTTTATTTCTTTGCTAATAAACTCATTCAACGGATGGAAGAGAAAGGTAGGATGAACGAACGTCATTCAAAGTTGAATTAAGATGTGTTGGTATTCGAAAAAACAAAATGGGACACGAATGACGTTTTTTTGGCCAGAAATAAAAACAGTGTGAAAATATCTTTCTACTGAGAAACAGTTATTCAAGTTTTTCGTAAACCAATCTTTGAAAGAAGTAAAACAACAGCATCAAAAATCTCATTCTTACGATTCTGTTGAAAAGATTTTCAAATATTTTTATGCAGATTTTTTAAGCTTAATCTAATTTGTCATCTGAGGGGACTTTTTTCAAAAATTTCTGTAAGAAACTATTTTTATTCATAAAAAACTTCATTTTTGGAGGTATTTTCAAATCGGTCCAGCTCACTTAAATCTTAATATTTTTCCAAAATTTTTTGGTGGACGTCTTAAAATATAATAAATTTTGTAATCCCGGCGGAAAAACCGCAACTTTTTTTTTGTGATGCAGTCTAATTTTTAAACATACATACATAGTTAAAATAAAATTTTTAATAAATAAACCGTAAAATAAAGTTGAGCTGTGAAGTGCTTATCGCACTATTTTTCTTATATGTACACATACAAATGCACAAGAACTACACAATCAGCTAACATTTGGCGTCTTTTGCATAACCCAGCTGCGCTTCCGTAGTACTCACAGTAATTCTCACCCAGATCATCGTCTCGTATCTCATTCTCAAGAAAATTAAAGCATTACTCGTTATACTAAATATTTTGTTGTTATGTATGTATATGTCTTTTAATTGATAAATAAAGCAAACTCGCAAAGTATGAGCGCTAAATAAAGTACGACAACAACAAACAATTGAGAGACCTCATGTTGCTGATGGGTATAAATAAAGCGCGGTTAAACATGATTTTGAACAGTTGGTGAACGAAAATTCAGTGGAGCACTGCGTGCATAGAAAAATTAATTTAAAAAATTTTCCGCCTCAACAAAATTAATTTGGAAATTGCTCACTTTCATTTAAATAATTAGTGTAAATTCGAAACAGTTATTTTAATACATACATATATACATAAAATGGCTTTGGAAATCACAACTACTGACTACGCTCTACCTGACTTGAAAGATATTGTAAGTACTATTATTAAGAAAATATCAAAAACAATTTATTTATTCGCTGTTCAAGTTTGCTG